AGTTGCGCAAAACCATTTTTCACTCAAGGCTACAAGACGCGAGGTATTTGCTTATTTACTTCATTTTAAAAGGCAAAAAGTATGCTGTTAGATATCTTATACACGACATATAGTTGCAGTTATAATATGGATAAATTTGGCCCTAAAATGAATATGCGTTCGGTTAAATAGCATTTAGGCTATAAATATAATTGCACTTTGTGATTAGGCCCACTGCGTTCATTTACCTGCAAATATAAATCCAAATACGCAACTTTTTCAGGGTGCAGCACGTCGCAGGTGTCATGGCGGCGTTCAAATTTCGTAAGGGGCGTTGATGTGATAAATAATTATTAAGTGGATCTGGTGACAAATACATGATGGGTATAGACTGATTTGTTAATACAGTAAGGTACCGTGTATGGGCAGTAAAATGCCTAGAGGCTTACTGTGCGCTTTAAGTTCGTACTAGTTGCTCGAGGTTAGCGTGGTACTACGCCGTTCCACGTCTGCTAATACGCGCCGCAGCTGCGGCTGGTAATTTCCGCCACGCGCGTCACCACGATTATTTTGAAAACATGTTCAAAGTTTGGCTCCTAGCTCCCCCTACGGCATCATGCTGACTGCACGCGCGCAGATCACAGATCGGCAGTAACGCTTCCATATACGTGCCACACTGCGTTCTACACGTTTTCAGCGCAGCGGTCTTAGAGCGCGTAGTAGCGCGCCGTACGTTGCAGATCGGGCCCTGGTGTGACTGGGGTAATTAGGCTTGTTCCTTATTCGAATAAGGAACTGGTAACTGCTTTGCCTAGTTACTAGTTCCTTATTCGAATAAGGAACTGGGAAGTGGGAACTGGTAACTGCTTTGCCTAGTTACTAGTTCCTTATTCGAATAAGGAACTGGGAAGTGGGAACTGGTAACTGCTTTGCCTAGTTACTATTTCCTTATTCGAATAAGGAACTGGGAGCTAACTTCACTGAGCTACTCTTGTTGGGTTACATTCTTGTATCTACACGTACAGTAGCGCTTATGTCGGCTATCTAGTTCAAACTCAGTGTTTTCGCTCATTTAAGTAAATACACAACAGGGTGAAAAACTGATAATTGGAGGCACTGGTCCAGCAGGACCAGTGCCTCTGAGGAAGTACTGGTCCTGGTCAGTAGGCACTGGTCCAGGATTTCTGTCATAGCAAAGGGAATGACTCGGATGTGGGGACGTTTTCATAGGGGGGATGGTGCAATTTGGTAATGTGCATTCTAAGGTATTCTTAAAAATTATATTTTTTACTCGTTTCGATACACTGATGCGTAGTTAATCGGAACAAGTCCAAAAATCAACCTCAAAAATCAATCAAATCAATCAAAGATCAAAAATCAACGATCAAAAATCAACGATCAAAACATCAAAGATCAGCGCCAGCGGTCTCTGAAGACCACCCATTATTCCTATTAATTATCATATTTTATTACACGCGATCGCTGATTGGTCGGGATGCCCAGTATTATCGAATTAGCAGAGCTTTAACAGCATGACCTAGAAAATCGAACACAACAAACATGGAGAGTTTGTGTACTTCGCATGAACTTTAGGCTTCGGAATTTGACTATTTTTAGCTCATCTGACATAGTCAGATGCAGCTTGTAGAATCGCATGATCGTCCGTCCGTCCATCCGAGCGTCCGTCCGAGCGTCCGTCCGA